GTGTGTGCAAAACCTCAGGGCATTGTGTCTGTGGGCCGTGGTCTCCACCACGCCAAAGCCACCCAGAGCTGATGCTCTGGAAATAGCTGGGTTTGGCTTTCTCAGGGAGACTTGCTCCTCCCTGAGCATTGTTTATTTGTCTCTAGGCCTGAGATAATTGAACAACAATGTCATCATTATCTCCGATTCCCTTAGGTGGCTTGAGTCACGGTCCAAAGTTCCCCTCAGGAGGAATCCTCACAGATGGGTGGGCTTCAGTGGCCACAGCCTCTTTACACAGTTTAGGCATAATGGGCAAAAAATCCTTTGTAGAAAAGTTTGAGCCATTGCTGAGGGTGTTCCAGTCTATCAGAGACGGGAAGAGAGAGGATGGGGGTGAAAGGAGGAGGAGGAGGCAGTTGTCGGGCCCGGGATGAGCGCTGGCATGTATTATCTGAGCGGGGCTGATGTCTCTCACCGCTTTAGCTCTAGAATTACTCTGAGGCCCGGCACGCTCCGATCCCTGTGGCAGTGGAGCTTTTGTCACTTGTGGGATGGAGTCCTCCTGCCAGACTTGGAGCCAGGCTGAGGAAGGGATCCTTGTTGGGATCTGCCCCATTGCCAGGTGGGGCAGGTGCTGTTCTGGGCTGGGCTGTGGGTTTTGTGCCCATGTGCGGCTCTCACATGTCCCGAATTCCATGGTTTGGTAGTTTGTGTCCAGCTGCATGTGGGAATGTTGTCTGAGGTGTCCCTGAGCCCCCGTGTGCTGGCAGAGCTGTGCAGGTTCTGTGTGTGCAGCTGGGCTGGTGCAGCTGCAGGAGGGAATTGGCACCTGTGGTCAGTGTGGCCCTGAACCTGGAATGTTTTGTGCTTTTTGCAGGTGTCCGGTTGTGCGTGGGATGTTCTGGCCAGCCCAGATGTATGATCCAGCATTTTTGAGCATCCCCATGGCTGCAAGTCTCCGTGGTGTGTGTCAGGTGAGGTTTAGGGTGACTCAGGTGCTGGTGAGATCCCGGATCTCCAGGGGCTTTGGTTTTGCATTGATATCTGCAGCCAGGGGCTGGTGTTGTATTCCAATAGATTATGATTCTAGAAAGCCTGATGGGAACGCCCAGGAACCTTCCCAGGGAAGGGGATGAGCGGGGCAGCAAGTTTGAGCCAGTGTCTGGCAGCAGATTCAGGATCTTTTCCATCACATTGCTTCACATGCAGTGCTGTGGTAAAGGCCTCAGTAAATAAAAATGAGTCTGAGGAGCTTTGAGGGTCCGTGATGGTTTCTCACTGCTCCTCAGCTGCCATTCACATGAATATCTTGTGTGTGTGATCTAATTGGGGTTGGAGTTTTACAAGGGAGCCGTTTTCCATAAGGGAGGATGGGTGTTCACTGCCTCTGACCAGAAGTTTTGCCACACACCGAAAACCTCTCCTGCAACCCTTTGGCTGGGGGAGTGTGTGCAAACCTCAGGGCATTGGGTCTGTGGGCCATGGCCTCCACCATGCCAAATCCACGCAGAGCTGATGTTCAGGACAGTTGGTTGGTTTGGATTTCTGGGGGTTACTTTTTTCTCCCTCATCCTTATTTACTTGTCTCTAGACCGGAGATGATTAAACAACAGTGTCGCTTTTATCTATCTCAGTTTCTCTTAAGTGGCTTACGTCACGGTCTGAGTTTTTCCTCAGAAGGCATCCTCAGAGAGGAGTGGGCTTATGTGTCCGGAGCCTCTCTACACAGTTTAGTCATAATGGGCAAAAAATCCTTTGTACCAAACTTTGAGCTGTTGACCGCAATGATTTGGTCTCTCAGAGACGGGAACAGAGGGGGATGGGGGTGAAAGGAGGAGGAGGAGGCAGTTGTCGGGCCCGGGATGAGCGCTGGCATGTATTATCTGAGCGGGGCTGATGTCTCTCACCGCTTTAGCTCTAGAATTACTCTGAGGCCCGGCACACTCCGATCCCTGTGGCAGTGGAGCTTTAGCCAGTTGTGGGATGGAGTCCTCCTGCCAGACTTGGAGCCAGGTTGAAGAGAGGGTGTCCTGGTTGGGATCTGCCCCACTGCCAGGTGGGCCAGGGGCAGTTCTGGGCTGAGCCGTGGGTTTTGTGCCCATATGTGGCTGTCACATGTCTGAATTCCATGGTTTGGCAGTTTGTGTCCAGGTGCATGTGGGAGTGTGTCCTCGGTGTGTCCCTGAGCCCTCGTGCTGTTTCAGAGCTGTGCAGGTTCTGTGTGTGCAGCTGGGCTGGTGCAGCTGCAGGAGGGAATTGGCACCTGTGGTCAGTGTGGCTCTAAACCTGGAATGTTTTGTGCTTCTTGCAGGTGTCCAGTTGTGCACAGGATATTCTGGCCAGCCCAGATGTATGATCCAGCATTTTTGAGAGTCTCCATGGCTGCAGGTCCTGGTAGTGTGTGTCAGGTGAGGTTTGGGGTGACTCAGGTGCTGGTGAGGTCTCGGGGCTCCCGGGGCTTTGGATGTGCAGTGAGATTTGCAGCCCCTGGGAAGGTGTTGCTGGGGGTGTGCTCAGGGACACGCAGCTCCGTGCGGGTGTCCTGGGCTCCTGTCAGCTCCCATGTCATTGATTTGTGGGGAGGGGTAGGAAATGGGGCAGGGCCTCTTGTTATTTCAGGTCCTTTTGTGTTTTTGAAATCCAGGTTTTGCTTTTTGTGCTGTATTTTCTGCTAGAATTTCAGCATTCCTTTGATTTTATTAAAACTATTTTTTGTTCTGTTTTTGTGTCCTTGGAGAGAATGATTGTCGGATGGGGAGGAGGGAGAGGTCAGGAAGGAGGAAGGATGTGGGCAAGGTGCTTGTAAGACTTGTTTTTACTTCTCAGTATCCTCTGATATTTTTGGCAATAACTTCAGCTAAATTTCCTTATTTGAGTCTGTTTTCCCAGTGATCAGTGAGTTATTTATCCCTGTCCTTAACTCAGGGCATGAGCCTTTCCTTATATTTTCTCTCCCCTTTCTGCTGAGAAGAGCAGTAATAAACCAGCTTTGCTGGGTACCTCTCATCCAGCCAGCGTCTGATCACAAGCTGGACCCTGTGACACTGCAGTCTTACGGTTTTCTGTGTGTTGTGATAGTTGTGTGCATATCCAGGGAGGCAAAATATGTGATCCTGAGCCTCTAGATCCAAAATATTCCCATTTCCATATGGGTGTGACCCTGTTAGCCGAGGTACCATGTGTTCCCACGTTGCCGGGAGCAGTGGATCCTTTCAGGGGTGCTGACACCACCAAGCAGGACCCTCATGGACCCTTCCAAACATCAACTTCCTGCATGGAGCAGCTTTCCCTGGAGGGGCTGAGGCTCTGGGTGTGGCTGGAGTTGAGGAGACCAGCCCTGAGCACTGGCCATGCTGCGCTGGTGAGCCCACAGCTCCAACGTGAAGCCACCCACCAACAGCTCCCAGAGGTAGATTCCCCCATCTCCAGGGCCCTTCGGCTCCCAGTGCAGCCTTTCCATCAGAAATTCCCCTGGAGCTGACCCCAGCCTCAAACTCGACATCTCCACGTGTCACCCCTTACTCCTGTCAAATTCCTTGGGCTGAATGTGGGGCTGCACTGACCCCTCTGCCTGGGACACCAGGACTCTGGGGTCAGGGAAAAGGGGGAGGTAGGAGGACAACAGGGTCACAGGCCATGGGAACAGCTGCATGACAAGGATCTCCAGGCCCTGGAGGCGCTCTGGGGAGCACTGGGGAGTGGTGGCACAGGGACACCAGGGCTGGGCTGGGACAGTGCCGGGGTGGCCGCAGTGTCTGGAATGGGGGCACAGGGACACCAGGGCTGGGCTGGGGCAGTGCCGGGGTGGCCGCAGTGTCTGGAATGGTGGCTCAGGGACACCAGGGCTGGGCTGGGGCAGTGCCGGGGTGGCCGCAGTGTCCGGCTCCAGCCCATTCCCGGCACTGCTGCCCCAAACTGCTCCAGGCCCTGGGGGAAGATCCCCTGCCCGGCCCCCCGTCCCACCCGGGACCTCTGTGTCCTGCTGGATCAGCCCAGTCCCGCTCTGCTGAGCTGTGCCCCACATCGGCTCCCAGGGGCTCTGCCCCAGCAGGGCTGTGGCTCCAGACTGGGCTGGCCCTGGGACACAGCTCCCACAGAGCCCCTGGCCCAGGGATGGCCCTGAGCAGGGTTTGCCCCTCAGGCTGGAGTCCAGTTCAGCATCCCTCCTGGAGCAGGAATCCCTCAGGACATGGGGTCCCCAGAAGGGTTGGGACAGATGCAGCTGTGGCTGCCCGTGACCTGTTCCAGCAGCTTTCTGTGCAGATCCCATCCCTGCCTCTGGAGTGGTTCTGGTGGGACCCCAGGCCGAGCACAACAGTGAGATTTAGCTGCTCATGGAACTCCAAATGCTCGAGCCTTTCCCAATGCCGCAAGAGTTGAGGACATGTCTCTTTATCGTGGGATAAAGGACTCCAGAAATCCTGAGGTGCTGGAAGGGATCCATGACCCAGGGACAGCACCTCCACCCCGGATCAGGGGCTGGACCCTCACACCGAGGTCAGGAATTGAATTCCCACTCCAGGGCAGCAGCTGAGTGACCTTGAGATGACCATGGCCATGAAATTGAGATGACCATGGGGTCATTGTGAGACAAGATGACTGCGACACAACCATGAGATGCCTGTGACAATGAGATGACCATGACATGACCATGACCAGGAGACTACCATGATGTGACCATGGCATGACCACGACCCAGATCCATCTCTGAGTCTCAGAAGGACACCCACGGTGTTCCAAGGAGTTGTTTTCCCTGACCCTGTGCCCTCTGTTTTGGCTTCACTGGATGGTTCATCCCATCCTATCCCATCGCTGTCCACATGTTCATGTTGCCCAGGCTGGGACATCTCAGCATCTCCAGGGCCAGTGGGGGGATCAGGTCCAGCAGAACTGCAGGGATGATTTGGAGCTTCCCTCCTCACCAAGGCGATGACCTTGACTCTGGAATGACCTTGACCTCAGTCTGACTCTGTGCTCTCTCCCCCTGCCAGTTCCTGGTTGACCACAGGACAGGGGAGTCACCATCAGCTTTTATTACCCCCCCAATAAAAGTTTCACCTTTGAGCCTCCCCAGGTCCCATTTGGGACCCCCCAGGGGTTCTGGGATCCCCTAGCCCCAGCACTCAGGGGACCCCTCAGCCCCGCTGCGGCCGCAGCTTCATCTCGGTGAAGGGGATGGAGACGTTGAAGCCTTTCCAGGGGAACCAGTGGATGCCCTGCGGGGAAGGGGTGTCAGAACCCTTGCAGACTTCTAGAGACCCTCCCCTGAGTCCTCATAAACCCCTACAGACCATAGAGACCCCTGCAGACCCTAAGGATCCCTATAGACCTTTATAGATTCCTGTTGCCACTCATGGATCCTCACACAGATCTCCATAGACAGACCCCCAGAAATCATACAGATGCCCACAGGCCCTATAGAATCACATAGACCCTGTTTTCCATAGAGCCCTATGAAACCCTACAGACTCCCACAGACCCCTATGGACCCTTAGAAACCACCACAGAACCCCCATAGACCCCCTGCCACAGGTTCCCTCATATACCCCTAACCCCCCCATAGTCCTGTAGTCCACCCAAAGGCTCCCTAGACCTCCCTATTCACTCCCATAGCCCCCCAAGCCCCCTAAAAACGCCCAGCAGCCCCTTGCAAAGCCTCCTCAGACCTCCCAAATTCCCTCGTAGCCCCTCCATAGCCCCCCTGGCCCCGGTACCTGGTGGTCTCGGGGGGTCCCGTAGCGCCCGTTCAGGTTGGCGTAGTGGCAGTTGCGGTACCACCAGGCTCCCCCGTATGCCACGGCACAGGGCGGGGGTCGGGGCCGCCCCGAGGGGTCCCGGCGGTCCCGAGGGTCTCGAAAGTCCCGGTCCCGTGTGGAGAAGGGGCTGCCCGAGTGGTAGGAGAGGGCGTCCCCTGCGGGGGCGGCTGTCAGCGCCTCCAGGGACCCCCAAACCCACCAGAAACCCCAATACCCCCACGAGTCCCAAAAACCCCACCCCAAAACCCACCGGGGACCTCCAAATCCTCCAGGGGCTCCACAGACCCCTGCCAGCCAGGGGGTCCCAAAACCCGCAGGGATCCAAAACCCCATCAGGACCCGCAGAATTCCCCGGGACCCCCCGAGCCCCGCTCCGCGCACCGGCGGTGCCGCTGAACGCTCCCACTCGGAGCCGGTACCGCTCCTCGGCGCTGCCGACAGCGAAGTCGCGATAGAGCGCGAAGGCGGAGTCGCGGCCGGTCCGCAGGTCAATGCGCAGCTCCGTGCGGGTCGCGGTCGTCAGCTCGTGTAGCGCCTCGTTACCTGCGCCCCAAAATTGTCCGGCACCCCAGAAAGCCTGCGGGCCCCGCCAGCTTCCCCGTCCCCCCCAACTCCTGCATGTCCCCTGCAATACTGGGGACCCTTCAAACCCATCAAGTGCCCCCTGGACCCTTCAAGCCTGCCCTAACTCCTGGGTGCTCCCCCGCGAAACTTCTGGAGATGCCCCCCCAAGTCCTTCCCAGACCCCTGTGGCCCCCAAACCAGACCTGAATGTCTGTGGACCCCCCCAAGCCCCTCCAGACCTTTGGGCAAACCCCCTGGACTCCTTAATCAGTGCCTCGTTCCCTGCACCCCAAAACCTGCCTCCCAATTGCTCGGATCTGCCCTGCATCCTACAAATCTCCCCCTCGGCCCCGTGGGGAACCCCCAAGTTCTGGGACCCCACCGAGTACTCCCTGTCCCCAAACCCCCGGAGTGCCTCTGTTGGCACCATATCCCCTCAAATTTTTATGGGTCCCCCTCAGCGTCCCCCCAGCCCCCAGTGCCGCTCACCGAGCCAGAATTCGCCGCTGATGTTGCCGAAGCCGCGGGCGTACGACTCCCACCCCCGCCAAAAGTCGGTGCTCCCGTCCTGGCGGCGCTGGAACACCTGCGGGGGGGAAATCGGGGGTACCCCAAAATTCCCCGTACCCCTATTTCCCTCCCATAAACCCTGTAGAAGGCCCCCAGCCCCTCCCAGTACCCCCAGTTCCCCTCCCAGTGCTTTCACGTCACCCCTCCACCTCCCCAGTGCCCCCCAGCACCCCCTGCTTCTCCTGCAGGACCCCCTATTTCCCCCAAAGCCCCTCTTTTCCCTCCCCAGTGCCCCCCAACACCCCCTGCTTCTCCTGCAGGACCCCTTATTGCCCCCAAAGCCCCTCTTTTCCCCCCCAGTGCCCCCAATACCCCCTGCTTCTCCTGCAGGACCCCTTATTGCCCCCAAAACCCCTCTTTTCCCCCCCAGTGCCCCCCAACACCCCCTGCTTCTCCTGCAGGACCCCTTATTGCCCCCAAAGCCCCTCTTTTCCCCCCCAGTGCCCCCCAACACCCCCTGCTTCTCCTGCAGGACCCCTTATTGCCCCCAAAGCCCCTCTTTTCCCCCCCAGTGCCCCCCAACACCCCCTGCTTCTCCTGCAGGACTCCTTATTGCCCCCAAAATCCCTCTTTTCCCCCCAGTGCCCCCCAACACCCCCTGCTTCTCCTGCAGGACCCCTTATTGCCCCCAAAGCCCCTCTTTCCCCCCCCCAGTGCCCCCCAACACCCCCTGCTTCTCCTGCAGGACCCCCTATTTCCCCCAAAATAGGGAAATATTTTTTCCCCCAAAATAGGGAAATATTTCCCCCAAAGCCCCTCTTTTCCCCCCCAGAACTCCATATAGCCTCCTCCCTGTAGAAGCTCCCCCCACAGTGCCCCCAGTGCTCCCAGTCCCACCAGCCAGCCGCCGCCGTCTGTCTCCATGTCACAGAAGACCCTGAGGGGCCGGGCCGGGTCCCCCCGGAGGAAGATGAGGGTCTCCCGCGAGGGGCCCGGCCCGTTCAGCTGCTCCTCGGCGCAGTCCCGGGGGTGTGGGTGTGGGAGGGGAGCTGGGGAGGCATGGGGGTCCCCTCAGACATCCCAGGGGTTTCTGGGGACTCAGGGGTGCTGGTTCCCCACTCCCCAAAAGGACACAGAATCTCTGACTCAACAAGTGTCCTACCCCTATCCAGGGACCCAGGGGGTTGGGTGTTCCCCACCCAATAACTGCCCCCTGCCAGGACCCAGCCCCTACAAAGGACCCCAGGGGTACAGGTGTCCCCACAATGGGTTTTCCCCTCTCCAGTGACCCAGCTGTCCGTGTCCCAGCCCGCCAAAATGACACCCCTTTCCCCAGGACCCAGCCCCACAAAATGGACCCAGGAAACCAGGTGCCTCTCTCAAGGACCCACCCTTGCCCATCAACCCAACCCCCTCCCCCAAAGGACTCGGGCACCCTCCCAGGTAACCCCCCCCAAAAAGGACACAGATACCCCTCACTCCAGGACACCGACACCCAGAAGACCCAAGTGTCTGGTTGTGCACACTCCCACCCCCCCAAATAACCCCCTTCCAAAAGGACTCAGGTGTTTGGGTGCCCCCCCCACCATAACCCAACCCCTCTCTCAGATGTCCCCCTCCCATGGACCCACCCACCCACCCCCCTCCCAAAAGCACTCGGGGGTTCAGATGCCCCCCAAATTCCAGCCTTCCCTCCAAGGGACATAGCTTCCCCCACCAATAACCCCAACCCCCACAAAAGGACCTGGGGGTCCATGTGCACCCCCCTAATGACCCCTCCACACCCCTTAGCTCGCCCCACTCACGAGTGTCAAAGGTGGCCTCGAGGGGGGCTGTTTGGGGGTCTCCCCCTCGGCCCCACAAGCGCACCCCATAGTGTCCTGATGGCTCTAGTCCCCACAGCTGCTGCGACGTAGCCTCGGGCGGCAGCCACAGGGTCTGGGGGCACGAGGGGTCCTGGGTTATCCCAGGGGGATAGTGGAGTCCCCAGAAAGGTATTGGCATGCCCAAAGGCATTATTTGGGTCTCTCGGACGTGTATTGGGGTGCCATTACCAGAGGAGGATAATGGGATGCCCTGAGGTGTTACTGGGGTCCCCAGGGGTGTTACTAGGATACCTGAAGGTATCCAGCAGGTTACTGGGGTCCCCCAAGGAGATACTGGGGGGACACCCTGGGTGTTCCAGGGTTTTTAGGATCCTTTGGGAGGCTGTTACCTGCTGGGGTCCGGCAGGGGGGCCATACTCCAGCTCATAGCCATCAGGGGGGGCTTGCAGGGGGTTCCAGTGCAGCCATGCACTGCGGGGCCACACAGAGCCTACCCAGAGGGTCCCTGGGGTGCCTGGGGAAGGACACAATGCTGTCACCTTAGACAGCCCAGCTGGCACCCTGAAATCTCACACTGTTACCCCAAAAACACTTCTTCCACCCCAACCCCGCCCCCACATCTGCTGATACCCCAAACAGCCCTGCCCACACACTGTGCCCAATGGAGATGCCCCAGTTCCCCCTCATTTTTCCCAGACTCCTGAGACCAGTCCTCCCCCAGTCACCCTCAGGCCCCAGTTTCCCCCAGTGCCTGCCAGACCTGTTCCTTCAGTACCTCCCAGTCCCCCCTAGTCCCCTGAGTTCTTCCCAGTGCCCAGTTTCCCACAGTACTTGCCAGGCCCCAGTCCCCTCCTGGACCCAGTTTCCCCTCATTCTCCAGTCACCCCCATTCCCAGTTCCCCTCAGTCTCCCTCAGACCTGTTTCCCCCAGTCCCTTCAGTCCCCAGTTCCCTCCAGTTCCTCCCAGACCCAGTTCCCCCAGTGCCTCATAATCCTCTCTCACCTGTGCCTAGGCCTCTGAGTCCCCAGTTGCCCCCAGTTCACCCCAGTCTCCTGTTTCCCCCAGTTCCTCACACCTCACGGTTGTCCCAAGTTGTCCTGAGTTCCTCCAGAACCCCCAGTCCTCAGTTCTCCTGCCAGTTGCTCCCAGTGCTACATTGCCCCTAACCTCCAGTTCCCTGCAGTCCTCTGGCTACCCCCAGCTCCCAGGTTCCCCCAGTTCTCCCAAGTATCCTCAGCCCCCGTTGCTCCCAAAATCCCCCTCTAGTCAGCCCCAGTTGCTCCCAAAATCCCCCTCTAGTCACAGTTCCCCACTGTTCTCCCTGGTCCCCACTGAGCTTTCAGTGGGACCCAGTCACCCCAATAACTAATCCCCCATATTCCTCCAGTTCCCCAAGTCCTCAGTCCCTCCCAGTTCGCAGATCCCCACAGCTACCCAGTACCCCCACAAATTCTCCCCCATGCCATTTCCCCCAGTCCTAGCTAGTCCTCAGCTCCATCCCACCCCAGTTCACCCCAGTTCCCACCATTGCCCAGTTCCACACAGTTTCACTCAGCCCCCCAAATGCCCCAGGCCCCATTTCTAGCCAGTCCCCCTAGCTGTCCCCAGTTCCTCAGTCCCCAGCTGATCAGAGTCCCTCCAGATGTTGCACTCCCCCTAATCTCCAGTCCCCTCCAATCCCTGGTTGCCTCCAGTTCCCACTTCCCCTAAATTCCCCAGTCCTCAGTGCCCCCCAAGCTCCCTTGTCCCCTTCATTTCCTTGGCTCCCCCAGTGCAGCCGCATTCCCCAGTTCCTCCCAGTTCCCCTCGGGCCCCACTCCCTGCCCCGTCCCTATGCCAGCTCCATTCCCTGAGGGGCTCTGGGGGAGTCCCTGCAGCTCCTTACCAGTGATGGCCTCAGTGGAGACATGGTCAATCCTTTTCCCACCCTGCAGCCCATAGAGGTGGAAGCGGTACCGCTGGGAAGGGGACAGACCCGGCACCGTCACTGAGCGGGACCCGCCATCCATGGGCAGGGCCTGGGGCTGGCCCTGGTCATCCCGGTACTGCAGCGTGAAGGACTCAAAAGAGCCCTTGGGGACACTCCACTGCAGCTGCACAGAGTCGGGTCTGACACTGGAGACCTTCAGCTCCCCCAGCTCTGCCCGTGCCTGGGGGGCTGCAGATGGGATGGTCTCAACTGGGGTGTCTTTTCCTTCGGGATCCTCAGGTTGGGGCTCCTCTGAGGGCAGGGGCAGCTCCTCTGTCTTGGCTGTGGCTGCAATGGAGACAGGGTGATGATGTGTGTGAGAATCCATGTGTCTACCAAATGTCCATCCATCCATCCATCCATCTGTCCATCCAATTATGTTTCTTCCATGCACCTTTGACATCAACTGGTTCTTTAACCTCTTCCTCCATTGGATCATCCAATCACCCAACTACTAACCTGATATATCAAACCGCCAATAAATTGCCCCAGCACTCATCATGTATCATCTGTCTTTATCTGTCCGTTATCCGTCATCAATCTAATATCCATCCATCATCCATCTTTGTAACTTCAGTCAGTCCTTGAATCAATTCCTCCATTTTTCCCTTTCCCCCTCCACTTAGCCCCTCCTTCACCCAGGGCACAAACCAGCCATGGGCTCAGCCAGTCATCCATCCATCCATCCATCCATCCATCCATCCATCCATCCATCCATCCATCCATCCACTGATCAACCAACCAACCAGTTCAGGAGCCCTCCATCCATCAATTGATCCATTCTCCATCTACTCACTCCTGTACCTCTCTGTACCCTTCATTCACCAACATGTTCCTCCATCACTTGATCCCTCCATCTCTCCCTCCATCCATCACCCTTCATCCCTTCATTCACCCACCCTCACCCCTCAGACTTCCCCCACACCTGTGATGATGTCGGTAGAGGCACGGTCAATCCTTTTCCCTCCCCGCAGCCCATACAGGTGGAAGCGGTACCGGCGGGATGGGGACAGCCCTGGCACCGTCACTGAGCGGGACCCGCCATCGATGGGCAGGGCCTGGGGCTGGCCATGGACATCCCGGTACTGCAGCGTGAAGGAGTCAAAGGAGCCCTTGGGGACGCTCCACTGCAGCTGCACAGCATCGGGTCTGACACTGGAGGCTCTCAGCTCCCCCAGCACTGCCTTTGCCAAGTGGTTGTCAGTTGAGGGGGACTCAACTGGGGGATCTTTAGATTGGGGATCCTCAGGTTGGAGCTTCTCTGAAGACATGGGTTGCTCATCGAAGTTGGCCGCAGCTGTAATGAAGAGGGGATGTTGATGGATATCCACATGTCCATCCAAATGTGCATTCATCATCCACAAAATGAACCATCATTCATCATCCATCCATCCATCTACTCATTAATCTGTGTCTCCATCCATCTCACCCAACATTTAACCCAATGCCCTAACCAATCCCTCAAACATCTTTCTGACTCTTTCTCTCTATATCCACTCAAGCTTTCACCTCTTCCAGCCCCCATTTCCCATGGACAATCCTCCATCCTTCGGGACATCCAACCACCCACCAAGAATGCACCATCCACCTCTACTTCCCAATTCCATTCAACCACTCATCCACCTCTTCACCTTCTTCCATCAACCTGGGAAGAAATCCATGCACAATCCAGTCCAGAATCCATTCAACCATTCAGTTCTTCAACCATCATGGATGGATCATAATGGTAAGAAGATGATAAAAATGATGATGATGGATGATAGATAAAGAGGATGATGACAATGATGGTGGATGATGGTAGGTGCTGGTCAGTACGTTGGTAGAAGGGTTGATGATTGATTGGCTTGTGCTGGGGTCTGTGGGGAATAGATGGCAGGTAGAGATGAGATGGCCATGATCCCTCAATCCATTCATACTGTGATCCATCTGGTTCTCTGTCCATCCCCCTCACCTGTAACAGCTTCAGTGGAGGTATGGTAGACCCTCTTCCTGCCCCGCATCCCATAGAGGTGGAAGCGGTACCGGCTGGATGGAGACAGCCCCGGCACCGTCACTGAGCGGGACCCGCCATCAATGGGCAGGGCCTGGGGCTGGCCATGGGCATCCCGGTACTGCAGCGTGAAGGAGTCAAAAGGCGCCTCAGGGACGCTCCACTGCAGCTGCACGGAGTCAGGGCTGACACTGGAGACTCTCAGATCCTTCAGCACTGCTCGTGCTGGGGTTGTTGCAGATGGGGGGGCCTTAGTTTCGTGTTGCTCATCTTGGGGCTCCTCTGAGGGCAGGGGCAGCTCCTCCGACACAGCTGCAGCTGCGATGAAGATAGGATGATGATAGACATGGGCATCCAAACATCCATCCATCCATCCATCCATCCATCCATCCATCCATCCATCCACCCACTCTCAATCCTCTGACCTTCCCCATCAGCTGTGATGACATCAGTGGAGACATGGTCAGTCTTCCTCCCACCCTGCAGCCCATAGAGGTGGAATCGGTACCGCTGGGAAGGGGACAGCCCCGGCACTGTCACCAAGCGCAACCTGCCATCGATGGGCAGGGCCTGGGGCTGGCCATGGCCATCCTGGTACTGCAGCATGAAGGAGTCAAAGTGGCCCTCTGGGACACTCCACTGCAGCTGCACAGAGTTGGGTGTGACACTGGAGACCTTCAGTTCTTCCAACGCTGCCCGTGTCGAGGGGGCTGCAGATGGAGGGGCCTCAGTTTGGGGATGTGCAGTTTCGTGATCCTCAGCGGGGGGGCCCCCAGTTGGGGTGTCTATTAAAGGTGGGGACAGATCCTCTTGGTCAGCTACAGCAACAAGAGAGGGGACAATGATGGGTGTAGGCATTGGTATGTCGATCCATATGTTCATCCATCATCCACCCAGCTATCCATTATCCATCATGCACCATTTCCTCCCAGTCCCTCTCACCATTCCCTCCTCACCCATCACTGAGCACCCATTGACCCCAGCCCCATTCAATGAACCACTGAGTTCCATGAACTCACTGACTAGCATCTGCCATCATCCACCATCTTCATCATTGTCATAATCAACATCATCCATCATCTTGATTCATCCAGTATTCACCATCCATCCATCCATCCATCCATCCATCCATCCATCCATCCATCCATCCATCCGTCCGTCCGTCCGTCCGTCCATCCATCCGTCCATCCATCCATCCATCCCTCCATCACACCACCCTCCCATGGTCCCAGCCATGTCTCCGTCTCCAAGCTGTCTCTAGTTTCCCTGCCCAATTCCACCCATTGCTCCTTCCCCTCCACATCACCATCCACCATCAAGCAGTCACAAGACCCAGAAAACATCCGCTTCATGATTGATACTAAATCCCACCTGCCTCCAGACAAACAATCCCAGTCATCTGTCACCCATGTACCCAGCCCTCCATCCACCCTTTCACTATCCATTTCTGCAGGCATCCAATGATGTTCATGTCTACCCTTCTACTTATGAGTCAATCCAACCCTCCAGGCATCCATCCATAATTCACCTTTTTCTCCATCTTTCCATTAATCTCTCAATCCCTACTTCTATCTCCCCAGTCCTTCCACCCTCTGACCTTCCTCCTCACCTGTGACAACATCGGTGGAGACACGGTCAATCCTCCTTCTGTCCCGCAGCCCATAGAGGTGGAAGCGGTACCGGCGGGATGGGGACAGCCCCGGCACTGTCACTGATCGGGACCCTCCATCAACAGCCAGGGCCTGGGGCTGGCCCTGGGCATCCCGGTACTGCAGCGTGAAGGAGTCGAAGGAGCCCTCGGGGACGCTCCACTGCAGTTGCACAGAGTGGGGTGTGACACTGGAGACCCTCAACTTCCCCAGCACCACCTGTCCCTGGTTAGCCTGAGTTTGGGGCTGCTCCGTTTGGGGCTGCTCAGGGTTGTGGTCTTCAGGTTGGGGCTCCTGTGAAGGTGGGGGCAGCTGCTCTGGCACTGCTGCATCTGTGATGGAGAGGGAACGATGACAAGCATGAGAATCAACATGTTCATTGAACCATCCATCCATCCATCCATCCATCCATCCATCCATCCATCCATCCATCCATCCATCCATCCTCCATTATTCTTCAATCCTTCACCCATCCTTTTTCCTTCAGTCAGTCCTAAAATCCGTTCCTCCATCTCCCTTAACTGCCCTCACCTCCCAACCCCCTAGCACCTCTGCCCTTGCCCAGGGCACAAACCAGCCACAGGCTCAAACACACATGCTCCCATCTGGCCACCTGTGCATTCATCATCAATCCATCCAAACCAGCCAGGAGCCCCCCATCCAATGATCCATCACCCCTCCATCCTCATCGTCCACCAATTTGCCATCATTCCAACCCCGAGCTGTTTCCATTCCCCAAGGCTGGGGTATATGATGGGGGGAGTTTGGGAGGGGTTGAAAGATGGATGATGGATGTTAGACAGGCGACGGAGGGATGATGGATGGTGATGATAGAGGATGACAGAGTCACTGTGTCATTAGAAGTGTCAGTGTTTACTCAGTGGCAGGTGGGAATGGGATTGTGGAAAGGTGCAATTGGTGCAACCATGCAGGGAAGTGTGGGGAAGTATGGATGGAGCTGGAATGGAGGGAGGATCAAAGTGGGATGGAAACAGGGTGTGTGGATGTAAGGAATGAGGAGGACGGGGATGGGGGAAGGGAGGGAGGTAGGGAGGAAGGGGTATCCAAATATGGACCAGAAGGAGATGGTTTCTTTGGGTGATGGTTGAACACTTGAAAGGGTGATGAATGGATGGAGAGAGGAAGGTTTAGGGAGGAAAAATAAATGGATGGATGGATGGATCCAAGTGGTCCCAGAAGCATCTGTTCAGTCATTGATCCTTCTACCTACCTATTGACCAACAACCCACCATTATCTATTAACATATCATCCATCACCCATCATCAATCATCATCCATCATCCATCCATGGGTTCACACATCCCTCTACTCTCCATCCCTCTGGCCTCCACATTCCCACTCCCATCTCAAGCCCCAGAAGCACTTCTGAGACTCCCCAAGCTTGAAGGACCATGTGAGGGCTTTTATGCACCATGGATGTGGATGGGGCCCGAGTCCCCCTCACCTGTGATGACATCGGTGGACACGTGGTCAATTCTTTTCCCACCTTGCAACCCGTAGAGGTGGAAGCGGTACCGGTGGGATGGGGACAGCCCTGGCACTGTCACTGAACGGGACCCACCGTTGATGGGCAAGGCCTGGGGCTGGCCCCGGGCATCCTTGTATTGCAGTGTGAAGGAGTCAAAAGGGCTCTTGGGGACACTCCACTGCAGCTGCACAGAGTTGGATGTAACACTGGAGGCCTTCAGCTCCCCCAGCACTGGCCGTGCTGGCAGGGCATCAGATGAGACAGCCTCAGGTTCGGGTTCCTCTGAGGGCAGGGGCAGCTCCTCGGGCTTGGCTGCAGCTGGGATGGAGAGGGGATAGTGATGGGCCCGGGCATCTGCTTGTTGATCAACAAGTTCGTCTATCATCCACCCAAACAGCCATCCATCATCCATCACTTCCATCCATCCATCCATCCATCCATCCATCCATCCATCCATCCATCCATCCATCCATCCATCCATCCATCCATCCTCCACTGTCCACTGTCCATCAATTGCCATGCCATTGTCCATGCACCATCCATTTTTCATCCATCTTCCATCACCCATCATCATCATCCATCCATCATGACAAGCCTCAACATAATGATTTGTCTATTCATCCATCCCTCTACCTTGCTAACATTCCTACACATCCTGCACTACCACACTGGGAAACTGGGGAGAAGTGGAGCTGCCTAGGAACGGAGGGATCAGTGACTGGGGATGGACACATAGTGGATCTATCCAATTAAATAATGATGATGATGGGTATTGGCTAATAGGCCAGAGGAAGGGTCAGTGGTTGATTGGATGATGCTGGTGTCAGTGGGTACCGAATGGCACTTAGGGATGGCATTGGGATGGGATCCTTTGATCTCTCCATCTCTCCATCCTTACAGCCACCTCTCCAACCCTTTCACTTTCTGACCTTCCCCCTCACCTGTGACAATGTCGGTGGAGACACGGTTGGTCCTTTTCCTGCCCTGCAGCCCATAGAGGTGGAAGCGGTACCGGTGGGATGGGGACAGCCCTGGCACCATCACCGAGTGGGACCCACCATCAATAGGCAGTGCCTGGGGCTGGCCCTGGGCATCCCGGTACTGCAGCGTGAAGGAGTCAAAGGAGCCCTCAGGGACACTCCACTGCAGCTGCACAGAGTTGGGGGTGACACTGGAGACCTTCAGCTCTCCCAGCACTGCCCGCACTGGGGGTACCTCAGTTTGGGGGTGCTCAGGCTGGTTGTCCTCAGTTAGCGGGGCTTCAGTTTGAGGCTCCTCTGATGTGGAAGGTGGCTCCTCTTGCTTGTCTGTGGCTGCTGTGCAGAGGAGACAGTGATGGGTGTGGCTGTCTATGTGTTCATCTACATGTCCATCCATCATCTACTCAACTATCCCCCCACCCATTGTCCATCACAGCCGTCCATCCATCATCCGTCCGTCCCACCACTCATCCAACACCCAACCCAACTCCCCACCCAATACCACATTCATCTCTCTGTTTCTTTCCCTCCACATTCCCCCATTGCCTCCACCCCTCTCAGCCTCCACTTCCCATGGACAATCTTCTGTCCATCAAAACACATATTTGGATGTGAACCCTCCATCCATCCATCCATCCATCCATCCATCCATCCATCCATCCATCCCACCTTTCCAACCACCCATCAACCCATCTACCTACTTCCTTCAGTTTGGACAGGAACCCACCCAATATCCAGACCAGAATCTCTAAAACCACTCAGGTTTTCATTCCTCATTGATAGAATATCATGATGATGATGATGATGATGATGATGATGATGATGATGATGGATGGTGATAATGGATATTACTGATGGTCATGCATTGTTGATAACTGATGATGATGATGATGAATCATGATGATGGATGACGATGATAATGGTGGATGATGGCAGGTGTTGTTCAAAAGGGTTGATGGTTGACTGGATGATGCCAGACTAGAAAAGTGCTTGATGTGGGATTGTTATGGGAATGGAAACCCTTGATTCACCCATCCCTTGATGTCTCTACCTCTCGAGCCTTCCATCTATCTTTCATCCCATCTTTCCTCTGACTTTCCTGCTCACCTGTGCTGACGTCGATGGAAACATGGTCAGTCCTTTTCCCTCTGTGTATCCCATAGAGGTGGAAGCGGTACCGGTGGGATGGGGACAGCCCAGGCACTGTCATCAAGTGCGACCCACCATCAATAGGCAGAGCCTGGGGCTGGCCATGGACATCCCGGTACTGCAGCATGAAGGAGTCAAAGTGGCCCTCTGGGACACTCCACTGCAGCTGCACAGAGTCAGGTGTGATACTGGAGACCTTCAGCTCTCCCAGCACTGTGTGTGCCAAGGGGGCCTCAGGTTGGGGGTGCTCAGGTGTGGGGGCCTCAGTTGTGGGGGCCTCAATTGTGGAGGCCTCATTTGTGGGGTCCATTGAGGGTGGGGACAGATCCTCTGGGTCAGCTACAGCAACAACAGAGAGGGGACAATGATGGGTGTAGGCATCAGTATGTCAATCCATATGTTCATCCATCATTCACCCAACTATCCATTATCCATCATGCACCATTTCCTCCCAGTCCCTCTCACCATTCCCTCCTCACCCATCACTGAGCACCCATTGACCCCAGCCCCATTCAATGAATCACTGAGTTCCATGAACTCACTGACTAGCATGTGCCATCATCCACCATCTTCATCATTGTCATAATCAACATCATCCATCATCTTGATTCATCCAGTATTCACCATCCATCCATCCATCCATCCATCCATCCATCCATCCATCCATCCATCCATCCATCCATCCATCCGTCCATCACACCACCCTCCCATGGTCCCAGCCATGTCTCCATGTCCAAGCTGTCTGTAGTTTCCCTGCCCAATTCCACCCATTGCTCCTTCCCCTCCACATCACCATCCACCATCAAGCAGTCACAAATCCCAGAAAACATCTGCTTAATGATTGATACTTCCTGCCTGCCTATTGACCAACAACCCCCATCATCCTTGTATCCATCCATGCATCCTTGCATCCATCTCTCTCAAACCCACTGTTCATGATGGAATCTCACAGTCCATCCATCCAGACTTCTTCAGCTACCTGCCTATTCATCAATGTTTGTTCAGTCACCATTCATCCATCCACCCAACCCTCTATTCATCTCATCATCATCCAGTTCTTCTTCAGGCATCCAATGATCCTGAAGTTCATCTGTCCATCCTTCTCATGATTCCACCCAACACTACACAAATGCATCCATCATCCGTTCTCTCCATCCATCTTCATGTCAGTCTCTCCACCTTTACAAACATCTCTCCAACTCTCCTCCCCTCTAAGATTTCCTGTCACTTCTTCTGACATTGGTGGAAGCATGGTCAATCCTTCTGCCTCCATGCAGCTTGTACACATGGAAGCAGTACAGATGAGATGGGGACAGCCCCAGCACTGTAACTGAGTGGGACTTGCTATTGACCAGCAGGGGCTGGGGCTGGCCTTGGGCATCCTGGTATTATAGCATAAATGAGCAAAAGATGTCCTCAGGGACAATCCATGACAGCTCCACAGAGATGGGGGTGAAAATGGAGACACTTAGCACTCCTAGAACCACCCGCACAAGAGGTGTCTCAGGTGAGGAAGCCACAGCTGGGGGGGTCTTCAGGTCATGGCTTCTCTGAGGATAGGAGCAGATATCCTGGCTCTCCTGCAGCTGCGATGCAGAGGGGATGGTGATGGGTATAGGATTCTCTCTGTCCCGCCAAACATCCAACACACCACCGACTCCATCCATCCATCCATCCATCCATCCATCCATCCATCCATCCATCCATCCATCCATCCATCCCTCTGTTGCTCCACTCTGCCAACACTCCATCCCATCCTCAAATCACCCATTCCTCCATCCCTCCATCTCTCCATATATCCATTATTCTTCATCCATACATCCAACCACCCTTTCTTCCCTGCTTACCTGTCATGACCTCAGTGGAGACATGGTCGATCTTCTTCCTGCCCCGCAGCCCATAGAGATGGAAGCGGTACCACTGGGAAGGGGACAAGCCCGGCACTGTCACGGAGCGAGACCCACCATCGATGGGCAGGGCCTGGGGCTGGCCCTGGGCATCCCGGTACTGCAGCAAAAAGGAGTCGAAGGAGCCCTTGGGGACAGTCCACTCCAGCCCCACGGAGCTGGGGGTGACGCTCGAGACCCTCAGGTCTTCCAGCACTGCCTTTGCTGGAGTGGGCTCATATGGGGAGGCCTCTGTTTGGGGTTTCTCATGCTGTGGTTCCTCTGTGGCCAGGGACGATTCCTCTGGCTCTTCTACAGCTCCTATGGAGAGGGGATGGTGATGGCTGTGGAAATGCCCGTGTCTCTCAAATATCCATCCATCCATCCATCCATCCATTCAACCATCCATCCATCCGTCCGTCCGTCTGTCCGTCCCTGTATTCGTCCATTCCTCCACCACTCCATCCCATTCTCAAATAACCTATTCCTCCATCTCTCCATCCCTCCATCTCTCCATATATCCATTATTGTTCATCCATACATCCAACCAACCTTTCTTTCCCGCTTACCTGTCATGACCTCAGTGGAGACATGGTTGATCTTCTTCCTGCCCCGCAGCCCGTAGAGGTGGAAGCGGTACCGCTGGGAAGGGGACAGCCCCGGTACTGTCACTGAGCGGGACCCGCCATCGATGGGCAGGGCCTGGGGCTGGCCATGGACATCCCGGTACTGCAGCAAGAAGGAGTCAAAGGAGCCCTCAGGGACGCTCCACTGCAGCTGCACAGAGTCGGGTCTGACACTGGAGACTCTCAGCTCCCCCAGCACCGCTCTTGCTGGCAGTGCCTCAGATTCGGGGGACTCAGTTGTGGGCTTCTCCTGTTGGGGCTTCTCTGAGGGCAAGGGTTCTTCGCTGGCTGCATTGGAGAGGAGATGGTAAAGGGCTAGGACATCCATTTGTCCCTCCAAATATCCATCCAACCACACAGCAACCAATCCATCCATTCCACCATGTGTCCATCCCTCTATTCACCCATCCATCCATCCATCCATCCATCCATCCATCCATCCATCCATCCATCCATCCATCCATCCATCCATCCATCCATCCACCCCTCCCTGCCTTCATCCAGATATAGTTATTTTCCCACCCTTTTCCCTTAAACTATTTCTTTAATAGCATCCTCCATTTGATCACCCCATCAAGCAATCATCTATCCGATATAATCTAATCTGTCAAAAACCCATCAATCCACCCTAACAAACATCATGCATCATCCGGCATCATCCATCCTTTTTCCTTCAGTTTGTCCTCAAATCCAAACCACCATACACACTCATTCCCAAGCACCTCCCAAACCCAGGACACAAACCATCCACTTGCTCAGCCATTAATCTGCTGTCCATCCATCCATCCATCCATCCATCCATCCATCCATCCATCCATCCATCCAGCCATCCATCCTGCCATCCTTCCACCTACTCAACTAACTAGCCCACCCAGAAGATTCCATCCATTATTGATCATTCACCCACCATTAACAGAAACGATCCATTCATCCATCTCACCCTTTAACCCTGAATCTATCCATCCGATGTCTTGTCCTCCAATGATCCTCAACAATCCATCCATCCATCCATCCATCCATCCATCCATCCATCCATCCATCCATCCATCCATGTATTCGTCCGTTCCTCTATCACTCCATCCCATCGTCCAATCACCAGTTTCTCCATCTCCCCATCCCTCCACCTCTCCATATATCCCTTATTCTTAATCCATACATTCACCCACCTTTCCCCTTCCCTACCTGTCATGACCTCAGTGGAGACATGGTTGATCTTCTTCCTGCCCCGCAGCCCATAGAGGTGGAAGCGGTACCGCTGAGAAGGGGAAAGCTCCGTCACCGTCACAGAGTGGGACCCACCATCGATGGGCAGAGCCTGGGGCTGGCCCTGGGCATCCCGGTACTGCAGCAAAAAGGAGTCGAAGGAGCCCTTGGGGACAGTCCACTCCAGCCCCACGGAGCTGGGGGTGACGCTCGAGACCCTCAGCTCTTCCAGCACCGCCTTTGCTGGAGTAGGCTCATATGGGGAGGCCTCTGTTTGTGGTTTCTCATGCTGTGGTTCCTCTGTGGCCAGGGACGATTCCTCTGGTTTTTCGGCGGCTCCTGTGGAGTGGTGATGGCAATGGATTCTTCCATCCAATTACCCATACCAGCACTTACCAACCCACTCATTCATCCAGACTTCCATGTCCTGGACCATCCATCCATCCCTGTGTTCCTCCAATCCTCCACCACTCCATCCCATCCTTCAATCACCCATTCCTCCACCTCTCCATTCCTCCATCTCTCCATATATCCATTATTGTTCATCCATACATCCAACCACCTTCCTCTCCCGTTACCTGTCATGACCTCAGTGGAGACATGGTCGATCTTCTTCCTGCCCCGCAGCCCATAGAGGTGGAAGCGGTACCGCTGGGAAGGGGACAGCCCCGGCACCGTCACTGAGCGGGACCCACCATCGATGGGCAGGGCCTGGGGCTGGCCCTGGTCATCCCGGTACTGCAGCAAGAAGGAGTCAAAGGAGCCCTCTGGGACACTCCACTGCAGCTGCACAGAGTCGGGTCTGACACTGGAGACTCTCAGCTCCCCCAGCACCGCTCGTGCTGGCAGTGCCTCAGATTCGGGGGACTCAGTTGTGGGCTTCTCCTGTTGGGGCTCCTCTGAGGGCAAGGGTTCTTCGCTGGCTGCATTGGAGAGGAGGATGGTAAAGGGGAAGAACACCTATGTGTCCCTCCAAATATCCATCCCACCACACAGCAACTAATCCATCCATCCATCCATCCATCCATCCATCCATCCATCCATCCATCCATGTGTCTGTCCGTCCATTCTTTTCATTACACACCCAACATACAACACAACCCCCTAGACAGTTCCACATCAATCTCTGTCTCTTAGCACATCTATCCATGCCTTTACGTCTCCCGCCCCCATTTGCCATGGTCAATCTTCCATTCATCCATCATTCTATCCATCCTTGATGGATAGAGGAGGAGGGAAGCATGGAAGGCTAGCTGGATGCATGATAATTGATGGATGATGGTGATGGTGACACATGGTGGATGAAGATGATGAAAGAGAATGGATAATTGATGGTGGCTGCTACTGATGGTGGATGATGGATGATGGAAGGTGCTGGTCAACAGATTGGCAGAAGGTTTGATATTTGATCAGATGGTGCTGAGACAATGGCTGCTGACTGGTGGGTATGTGATGGGCATGAGATTCCTTGATATCTCCACTTCCTTCCATCCCTCTGACCTTCCTCCTCACCTGTGACAGTGTCAGTAGAGACACGGTCAGTCCTTTTGCCTCCACACAGCCCATAGAGGTGGAAGCGGTACCGATGGGATGGGGACAAGCCCGGCACTGTCACGGAGCGAGACCTGCCATCGATGGGCAGGGCTTGAGGCTGGCCCTGGGCATCCCGGTACTGCAGCAAAAAGGAGTCGAAGGAGCCCGTGGGGACAGTCCACTCCAGCCCCACGGAGCTGGGGGTGACGCTCGAGACCCTCAGCTCTTCCAGCACTGCCTTTGCTGCTGTGGCCTCAGATATGGGGGCCTCTGTTTGGGGTTTCTCATGCTGTGGTTCCTCTGTGGGCAGGGACAGTTCCTCTGGCTCTTCTACAGCTCCTATGGAGAGGGGATGGTGATGGTCATGGAAGTGCCTGTATCCCTCAAATGTCCATCCCCCCACTCACTAATGAATCCATCCATCCATCCATCCATCCATCCATCCATCCATCCATCCATCCATCCATCCATCCGTCCGTCCGTCCATCCATCCATCCATCCATCCATCCATCCATCCATCCATCCATCCATCTATCCATCCATCCATCCACCCCTCCCTGCCTTCATCCAGACATAGTTATTTTCCCACAATTTTCCCTTGAACAATTTCTTTAATAGCATCCTCCATTTGATCACCCCATCAAGCAATCATGAATCCGATATAATCTAAACTGTCAAAAACCCATCAATCTACCCTAACAAACATCATGCATCATCCGGCATCATCCATCCTTTTTCCTTCAGTTTGTCCTCGAACCCAAACCACCATACACACTCATTCCCAAGCACCGCCCAAACCCAGGACACAAACCATCCACTTGCTCGGCCCTTAATCTGGTATCCATCCATCCATCCATCCATCCATCCATCCATCCATCCAGCCATCCATCCTGCCATCCTTCCACCTACTCAACTAACTAGCCCACCCAGAAGATACCATCCATTATTGATCATCCACCCACCTCTAACACAAACGATCCATTCATCCATCTCACCCTTTAACCCTGAATCTATCCATCCGATGTCTTGTCCTCCAATAATCCTCAACAATCCATCCATCCATCCATCCATCCATCCATCCATCCATCCATCCATCCATCCATCCCTCCCTCCATCCATCCATCCATCCATCCATCCATCCATCCATCCATCCATCCATCCATCCATCCATCCTTTCAACTGCAAGACAATTCATTTTGGGAACCAACATTGACCCATCCATCCATTCATCCATTCATTTATAGATAAAGTCATCCTCCCATCCATGTGACATCTGTCCGTCCATCCATCCATCCATCCATCCATCCATCCATCCATCCATCCATCCATCCATCCATCCATCCATCCCCGTGTTCCTCCAATCCTCCACCACTCCATCCCATCCTTCAATCACCCAGTCCTCCACCTCTCCATTCCTCCATCTCTCCATATATCCATTATTGTTCCTCCATACAACTAACCACCTTTCTCCCCCGTTACCTGTCATGACCTCAGTGGAGACATGGTTGATCTTCTTCCTGCCCCGCAGCCCATAGAGGTGGAAGCGGTACCGCTGGGAAGGGGACAGCCCTGTCACCGTCACTGAGCGGGACCCGCCATCGATGGGCAGGGCCTGGGGCTGGCCATGGACATCCCGGTACTGCAGCAAGAAGGAGTCAAAGGAGCCCTCTGGGACACTCCACTGCAGCTGCACAGAGTTGGGGGTGACACTGGAGACTCTCAGCTCCCCCAGCACCGCTCTTGCTGGCAGTGCCTCAGATTCGGGGGACTCAGTTGTGGGCTTCTCCTGTTGGGGCTCCTCTGAGGGCAAGGGTTCTTCGCTGGCTGCAATGGAGAGGAGATGGTAAAGGGCAAGGACATCCATGTGTCCTTCCAAATATCCATCCCACCCCACAGCAACCAATCCATCCATTCATCCATTCATCCATCCATCCATCCATCCATCCATCCATCCATCCATCCATCCATCCATCCATCCATCCATCCATCCATCCATGTGTCTGTCCGTCCATTCTTTTCATTACACACCCAACATACAACACAACCCCCTAGACAGCTCCACATCAATCTCTGTCTCTTTCTTAGCCCATCTATCCATGCTTTTATATCTCCCGCCCCCATTTCCCATGGTCAATCTTCCATTCATCCATCATTCTATCCATCCTTGATGGATAGAGGAGGAGGGAAGCATGGAAGGCTAGCTGGATGCATGATAATTGATGGATGATGGTGATGGTGACACATGGTGGATGAAGATGATGGAAGAGAATGGATAATTGATGGTGGTTGCTACTGATGGTGGATGATGGATGATGGAAGGTGCTGGTCAACAGATTGGTGGAAGGTTTGATATTTGATCAGATGGTGCTGAGTCAATGGCTGCTGACTGGTGGGTATGTGATGGGCATGGGATTCCTTGATTTCTCCACTTCCTTCCATCCCTCTGACCTTCCTCCTCACCTGTGACAGTGTCAGTAGAGACACGGTCAGTCCTTTTGCCTCCACGCAGCCCATAGAGGTGGAAGCGGTACCGATGGGATGGGGACAAGCCCGGCACTGTCACGGAGCGAGACCTGCCATCGATGGGCAGGGCTTGAGGCTGGCCCTGGGCATCCCGGTACTGCAGCAAAAAGGAGTCGAAGGAGCCCTTGGGGACAGTCCACTCCAGCCCCACAGAGCTGGGGGTGATGCTCGAGACCCTCAGCTCCTCCAGCACCGCCTTTGCTGGAGTAGGCTCATATGGGGAGGCCTCTGTTTGGGGTTTCTCATGCTGCGGTTCCTCTGTAGGCATGGACAGTGCCTCTGGTTTTTCGGCGGCTCCTGTGGAGTGGTGATGGTAATGGATTCTTCTATCCAAATACCCATACCTGCACTTACCAACCCACTCATTCATCCAGACTTCCATGTTCTGGACCATCCATCCATCCATCCATCCATCCATCCATCCATCCATCCATCCATCCATCCATCCATCCATCCATCCTGCCATCCTGCCATCCTTCCACCCATCAACTAACTAGCCCACCCAGAAGATTCCATCCATTATTGATCATCCACCCACCTCTAACACAAACAATCCATTCATCCATCTCACCCTTTAACCCTGAATCTATCCATCCGATGTCTTGTCCTCCAGTGATCCTCAACAATCCATCCATCCATCCATCCATCCATCCATCCATCCATCCATCCATCCATCCTTTCAACTGCAAGACAATTCATTTTGGGAACCAACATTGACCCATCCATTCATTCATCCTTTCATTTATAGATAAAGTCATCCTCCCATCCGTGTGACATCTGTCCATCCATCCATCCATCCATCCATCCATCCATCCATCCATGTATTTGTCTGTTCCTCTATCACTCCATCCCATCGTCCAATCACCAGTTTCTCCATCTCCCCATCCCTCCACCTCTCCATATATCCCTTATTCTTAATCCATACATTCACCCACCTTTCCCCTTCCCTACCTGTCATGACCTCAGTGGAGACATGGTTGATCTTCTTCCTGCCCCGCAGCCCATAGAGGTGGAAGCGGTACCGCTGAGAAGGGGACAGCCCTGGAACTGTCTCTGAGCGGGACCCACCATCGATGGGCAGGGCCTGGGGCTGGCCATGGACATCCCGGTACTGCAGCAAGAAGGAGTCAAAGGAGCCCTCTGGGACACTCCACTGCAGCTGCACAGAGTCGGGTCTGACACTGGAGACTCTCAGCTCCCCCAGCACCGCTCGTGCTGGCAGTGCCTCAGATTCGGGGGACTCAGTTGTGGGCTTCTCCTGTTGGGGCTCCTCTAAAGAAAAGAGTTCTTCGCTGGCTGCAATGAAGAGGGATGATGTTAAATGGCAAGGATATCCATTTGTCACTTCAAATGTCCATCCTTCCACCAATTAAACAATCTGCCTATTCATCCATGTGTCCATCCATTGGACTGACCATCCATCCATCCATCCATCCGTCTATCCATCCATCCATCCATCCATCCAACCAACTAGCTTACCTGGGAGACTTCATCCATTTTCAATCATTCGCCCATCTCTACCACAAATGACCAATTCATCCATCTCTCCCTTTAAGTCTGAATCCATCCAACAGATGTTCAGTCCTCCAATGATTCTTATCATGCCATCCATCCATCCATCCATCCATCCATCCATCCATCCATCCAGCCATCCATCCCTGTATTCCTCCATTCCTCCACAACTCCATCCCATCGTCCAATCACCCATTCCCCCATCCCTCCATCTGTCCATCTATCCATTATTCTTCATCCATACATTCACCCACCTTCCCCTGTGCCTTACCTACTATGACCTCAGTGGAGACATGGTCGATCTTCTTCCTGCCCCGCAGCCCATAGAGGTGGAAGCGGTACCGCTGGGAAGGGGACAGCCCCGGCACCATCACTGAGCGGGACCCACCATCGATGGGCAGGGCCTGGGGCTGGCCATGGACATCCCGGTACTGCAGCAAGAAGGAGTCAAAGGAGCCCTCTGGGACACTCCACTGCAGCTGCACAGAGTTGGGTCTGACACTGGAGACTCTCAGCTCCCCCAGCACGGCTCTTGCTGGCAGTGCCTCAGATTCGGGGGACTCAGTTGTGGGCTTTTCTTGTTGGGGCTCCTCTGAGGGCAAGGGTTCTTCGCTGGCTGCATTGGAGAGGAGATGGTAAAGGGCAAGGACATCCATGTGTCCCTCCAAATATCCATCCCACCACACAGCAACCAATCCATCCATCCATCCATCCATTCATCCATCCATCCATCCATCCATCCATCCATGTCTGTCCGTCCATTCTTTTCATTACACACCCAACACACAACATAACCCCCTAGACAGTTCCACATCAATCTCTGTCTCTTTCTTAGCACATCTATCCATGCTTTTACATCTCCCGCCCCCATTTCCCATGGTCAATCTTCCATTCATCCATCATTCTATCCATCCTTGATGGATAGAGGAGGAGGGAAGCATGGAAGGGTAGCTGGATGCATGATAATTGATGGATGATGGTGACACATGGTGGATGAAGATGATGGAAGAGAATGGATAATTGATGGTGGCTGCTACTGATGGTGGATGATGGATGATGGAAGGTGCTGGTCAACAGATTGGTGGAAGGTTTGATATTTGATCAGATGGTGCTGAGTCAATGACTGCTGACTGGTGGGTATGTGATGGGCATGAGACTCCTTGATATCTCCACTTCCTTCCATCCCTCTGACCTTCCTCCTCACCTGTGACAGTGTCAGTGGAGACACGGTCAGTCCTTTTGCCTCCACGCAGCCCATAGAGGTGGAAGCGGTACCGATGGGATGGGGACAAGCCCGGCACTGTCACGGAGCGAGACCTGCCATCGATGGGCAGGGCTTGAGGCTGGCCCTGGGCATCCCGGTACTGCAGCAAAAAGGAGTCGAAGGAGCCCTTGGGGACAGTCCACTGCAGCCCCACGGAGCTGGGGGTGACACTCGAGACCCTCAGCTCTTCCAGCACCGCCTTTGCTGCTGTGGCCTCAGATATGGGGGCCTCTGTTTGGGGTTTCTCATGCTGTGGTTCCTCTGTTGGCAGGGACAGTTCCTCTGGCTCTTCTACAGCTCCTATGGAGAGGGGATGGTGATGGCCATGGAAATGCCTTTGTCCCTCAAATGTCCATCCCCCCACTCACTAATGAATCCATCCATCCATCCATCCATCCATCCATCCATCCATCCATCCATCCATCCATCCATCCTTTCAACTGCAAGACAATTCATTTTGGGAACCAACACTGACCCATCCATCCATTCATCCATTCATTTATAGATAAAGTCATCCTCCCATCCATGTGACATCTGTCCATCCATCCATCCATCCATCCATCCATCCATCCATCCATCCATGTATTTGTCCGTTCCTCTATCACTCCATCCCATCGTCCAATCACCAGTTTCTCCATCTCCCCATCCCTCCACCTCTCCATATATCCCTTATTCTTAATCCGTACATTCACCGACCTTTCCCCTTCCCTACCTGTCATGACCTCAGTGGAGACATGGTCGATCTTCTTCCTGCCCCGCAGCCCATAGAGGTGGAATCGGTACCGCTGGGAAGGGGACAGCCCCGGTACTGTCACTGAGCGGGACCCGCCATTAATGGGCAGGGCCTGGGGCTGGCCCTGGACATCCCGGTACTGCAGCAAGAAGGAGTCAAAGGAGCCCTCTGGGACACTCCACTGCAGCTGCACAGAGTCGGGTCTGACACTGGAGACCTTCAGCTCCTCCAGCACCGCTCTTGCTGGCAGGGCCTCAGATTCGGGGGACTCAGTTGTGGGCTTCTCCTGTTGGGGCTCCTCTGAGGGCAATGATTCTTCGCTGGCTGCATTGGAGAGGAGATGGTAAAGGGTTAGGACATCCATGTGTCCCTCCAAATATCCATCCCACCACACAGCAACCAATCCATCCATTCCACCATGTGTCCATCCCTCTATTCAACCATTTATCCATCCATCCATCCATCCATCCATCCATCCATCCATCCATCCATCCATCCATCCATCCATCCATCCATCCATCCATTCATCCATCCATCCATCCATCCATCCATCCATCCATCCATCCATCCATCCATCCATCCATCCATCCATCCATCCATCCATCCATCTATCCATCCATCCATCATTGATGTATGAAAAATGATGGATGGGTAGATGGAAGATTGGATGGATGGATGGAAGATGAGTGATGAATGATGATGATGGTTGATGAATGATGGTGATGATGATGGTGGTTGTGATGAAAATTCTGGATGTTAATGATGGATAACGGATGATGATGATGGTGGAGGTAGTGATACATGGTAGATGAAAATTATGGATGACTATGATGGATAATGGATGATGATGATAGTGGATGGCAAATGTTGGTCACCAGGCCAGTGGAAGGGTCAGTGATTGATTGGATGGTACCCAAGTCAGTGAGTCCTCACTGACAGATGGGGATGGAATGGGGGTGGGATCTCTTGATTCATCCACCTTTTCATCCATTCATCCATCCATCCATCCATCCTGCTGACCTTCCATCTCACCTGTGATAATGTCAATAGAGAGGCGGTCAGTCTTCTTCCTGCCTCGCAGCCCATAGAGGTGGAAGCGGTACCGCTGGGAAGGGGACAGCCCTGTCACCGTCACAGAGCGGGACCCGCCATAGATGGGCAGGGCCTGGGGCTGGCCATGGACATCCCGGTACTGCAGCAAGAAGGAGTCAAAGGAGCCCTCAGGGACGCTCCAGTGCAGCTGCACAGAGTCGGGTCTGACAGTGGAGACTCTCAGCTCCCCCAGCACTGCCCGCAACACGGGGGCTGCAGATGGGGGGGTCTCAGTTTGAAGTTTCTCATGTTTTTGCTCCTCTGAGGGCAGGGGTATCTCGTCTGGCTCTTCTGTGCCTGCAATGGATGATGGCATGGTGGCATGGTAATTCCTGTGTCCATCCAATCATCCATCTCACCACCCACCAATCAAAGCATACATCCTTCCATTTCCACTTTTATCTACAGGACTATTCATTCCAGCACCCATCACCTACCCATCCATCTAATTACAGGTCATACCATGAACATTTTCCTTCAACTCCTTTAATCTCACCAAGCATTGGGCCATCCAACCACCCACCCACTGATCTGACATGTCAAACCACTGACAAACTGCCCCAACAGCTATCATGCATTATCCATCTTCATCCATTCATTCGTCCATCCATCCTGATTGGTTCAGTCAGTCCTTGAATACAATCCTATTTGAATACAATCCTACATCCCTATTCCCCTACACTCCCCTCCTCACTCAGAGCAAAAACCAGCCATGGGCTCAGCCACATGTAAATCTGTGCAGCCATGTGTCCATTCAGCATTCATCCATCCAATCCACCCAGGAGACCCCTCTCCATCGATATATCATCCACCACCATCCATGCATTCCACACCATCGCACTATCATTCAACCTACCCAACCAACTAACTCACCCAGGAGCTACCATTCATTCAATCATCCAACCATTCTTCATTTCTTCCTCTGTTCATTCATCAATCCATCCATCAATGCATCCATCTCTCACCGTAACCCCCCTGGCCTTCCCCCTTACCTGTCATGACCTCGGTGGAGACATGGTCGATCTTCTTCCTGCCCCGCAGCCCATAGAGGTGGAAGCGGTACCGCTGGGAAGGGGACAGCCCCGGTACTGTCACCGAGTCTGAGCTCCCATCGATGGGCAGGGCTTGGGGCTGGCCCTGGACATCCCGGTACTGCAGCAAGAAGGAGTCAAAGGAGCCCTCGGGAACACTCCACTGCAGCTGCACAGAGTTGGGGGTGACACCGGAGACCTTCAGCTCCCCCAGCTCTGCCCGCACAAGGGGGGCCTCAGATGCAGGGGACTCAGTTTGAGGTTTTTTATGTTGGGGCTTATCTGAGGGCAGAGGCAGCTCCTCTGGCTCTGCTGCAGCTGTGGTAGAGAGTGGAGAGTGACGGTTGTGGGAATGACAGTGTCCATCCAAACATCCACCCAACCCATCCATTCACAGAGCATACCATACACCTTTTCCTTCAACTCCTTCTTTAATCTCATCTTGCACTGGGTCATCCAACCACCCAGCCACTGCTCTGATATGTCAAGCCACCAACAAAATGCCTTCAACAACAATCATGCATCATCCATCTGTCCATCCACTCCTGCACCTCCTCCACCCCTTCCTCAACCCACCCATCCATCCATCCCTTGATCCCTCCATCTTTCCACCTACCCATCATCCTTCATCCACCCATCTACCCACCCTCCTCGCTCTGACCATTCCCCTTACCTGTCATGGCCTCGGTGGAGACATGGTCAATCTTCTTCCTGCCTCGCAGCCCATAAAGGTGGAAGCGGTACCGGTGGGATGGGGACAGCCCGGGCACTGTCACTGAGTCTGACCTCCCATCCATGGGCAGGGCCTGGGGCTGGCCCTGGGCATCCCGGTACTGCAGCATGAAGGAGTCAAAGGAGCCCTCAGGGACGCTCCACTGCAGCTGCACAGAGCTGGGGGCAATGCTGGTGACCCTCAGCTCCCCAAGTACTGCCCGTGATGGGGAGGCTTGAGATTCAGGGACCTCAGTTTGGGATTTCTCATGCTGGGGCTCCTCTGAGAGCAAGGTCTGCTCCTCAGGTTCTGCTGCAGCTGTGATGGAGAGGGGATGGTGATGGGTGTGTCCATGTGAACATCTATTCATGCTTTCATCTCCTGAATCATTCATTCTGGCTTTCATCATCAACTCATCCATTGGTGCATGCACAGTTCCTTGCATGCACCTTTCCCTTCAACCAATTCTTTAACTTCTCCCTCATTTGGGTTATCCAGCCACCTAAGCACTGATTTGATACATCAAACCTCCAGCAAATTGATGCATTTTGTATTGCCAACACCCATCATCCATTCACCATTGATCATCACCATCCATCATTGCCCATCACAGTCACCATCCGTCCATCCATCCATCCATCCATCCATCCATCCATCCATCCATCCATCCATCCATCCATCAATCCATCCATCCATCCATCCATCCATCCATCCATCCATCCATCCATCCATCCATCCATCTATCCACCCACCCACCCACCCTACCATGCTGTTACGCGTTCTCCGCCCCCGAGCTGCCACACTTGGGACTGGGGGAAACTGGGGACAGCTTGGGTAGAAGGATGGGGATGGATGATGGGTGGTGGATGATGATGGTAACAATGATGATGGGTGATGATGATGAAAGTGGGTGTTTGATAGCAGGTGAGGATGGGATGAGATGGGATATGTTGATCCCTCAATCCATCATCTATTAATCCATCCACCCTCACCTGTGATGACATCAATGGAAACACGGTTGATCCTCTTCTCACCCCGCAGCCCGTAGAGGTGGAAGCGGTACCGGTGGGATGGGGACAGCCCCGGCACTGTCACCGAGCGGGATCTGCCATCGATGGGCAAGGTCTGGGGCTGGCCCTGGGCATCCCGGTACTGCAGCATGAAGGAGTCAAAGGAGTCCTTGGGGACACTCCACTGCAGCTGCATGGAGCTGGGGGTTATGCTGGTGACACTGAGGTCACCCAGGACTGGCCGGGATGGACGCAGCTCCTCTGGCTCAGCTTTGACTGCAATGGATTTGGAACCATGTGGGCACAGGCATCTTTCTGTCCATTTACATGGCCATCCATGTCTCCAGCCCTCCCTCCATCTATCCCTCCCTTATCTTTCCACCTCTCCATCCATCTGTTCCTCCATTCATGTCTCCATTCATCAGTCTCTCCATCCCTCTAATGCATGTGCCATCCATGCATCCATGCATCCATGCATCCATGCATCCATGCATCCATCCATCCATCCATCCATCCATCCATCCATCCATCCTTCCATCATCCATCCATCCTTCCATCCATCCACCTATCCATCCATCCATCCATCCATCCATCCATCCATCCATCCATCCATCCATCCACCCACCCACCCACCCACCCACCCATCCATCCATCCATCCATCCATCCATCCATCCATCCATCCATCCATCCATCCATCCATCCATCCATCCACCCACCCACCCACCCATCCATCCATCCATCCATCCATCCATCCATCCATCCATCCATCCATCCATCCATCCATCCATCCATCCATCCATCCATCCATCCATCCATCCATCCATCCCAGGTATCACAGAATCTTCTAAATTGGATGGGACCCACAAGGGTCAAGTCCAACACCTGAGTTCATCCCATCCATCAGCCCCCACATCAGTACCTGTTTTCTCCACATCCCTCCATGTCTCCGTCAGCTTCATCTCATCCGTGTCCCCCCATTCCAGCACTAGCTCCTGTTTTCCACTCTCTCCTGCCCCCAGAAAGTGTGTTACAGGATATCCCTGTCACCCCATCTCTCTCATTCCTTCCCCAGGGTGCCCCTCCCCCTGATCCCTGTTATCCTTCTCACGATGTCCCTTCCACCCATCCTCCCCATCCTCCCTGTTCCCCTCACCCCATCCCCTCCATCCCACCCTTCCCTGTCCCATCCCAGTCCCCACTCCCACCATCCCCCCACCCACCTCCCTGCATTCCCCTCACTGTGCTGTTCCTTTCCCCCCATCCCCCCTGTTCCACTCTCCAGGATGTCCCTCCCACTTGTACCCCCTCATCCCTGAGGCATCCTTTTCCCCCATCCCCCTCCCCAATATCCCCACTCCCTCCTGATTCAGCCCCACTGTGACATCCACCTGTGGGTCCCTGTCCTCTCCCAAGGGTTGGGTGCCGGCGCAGGATGTAGGCCAGGATGGCACGGGCCACCCCTGGCACTGTCTGGTTGCCACGGAGGGGGAAGTTGGTGGCCCGAAGGTGGCTCTCGAGACGCTGGAGCAGGGTTCCACTGTATGTGGACAGCCGGGCCACCAGGTCCTGCAGGGAGGGGATGCCTGGGGACAGTGAGGGCCATGGGGACACTGGGGACCATGGGGGTGGAGGGGACCCTGGAAACACGGGGGACTCTGGGGACGCTGGCAGCTCTGGGAACTCTGGAGACAATGGGGACTCTGGGGACACTGAGAAATCTGGTGACACTGATGACCCTGGGAATTCTGGTGATGCTGGTGGCTCTGGGGATTCTGGTGATACTGCTGACCTTGAGGGTGCTGGGGATCCCAGGGACCCTCGAGCTACTGGAGATGCTGGAACCTTGGGGGGTGCTGGTGACCCCAAAGACCCAGGTGACCCCAAGGACAAGTCTGGTGATACGGGTGACACCGGTGACCCTGGTGACCCCAGTGACCCTGGGGATCCTGGGGACTCTGGAGGCCCTCGGGCTGATGGTGCCACTGCTGGAGACCCCAGGGAGCCCTGAGGCGACCCCGGGGACCCCTCATAGTGGGGCACAGATGGGACGAGCGCTGTGGAGCAAAGGGGACTCTTGTCACCAATCTGTCACAGACAGTCCCTGGGGGACATCCCTGTCCCAATACCTGGGCCATCCCCACCCCTGTCCCCATGTCCATGTTACCCCTGTATCCATGCCCATGCTACTCCTATCCTGGTCCCCTGGCATCCCTGTTCCCATCCTTGTCCCCACCCCCTTGGCCATGCCATCGCTGTCCCCAACCCCATCCTTGTGCCATCCCATCTCTGTTCAATGCCACACTGTCCCCATGCTGTCACCATCCCTGTGCCATTCCTGACCACACATCTGGGCTGTCCCCTTAACGTGACACTGTGCTATCACTGTCCCCATGCCTCTCATCCCCGTCCCCATGCCCATGCCAGCCTCAGCCCCAACCTTGTCCCCTTGCTATCCCTGCCCCCATGTCATCACTGTCCCCATCCCTGTGCCATCCCCATTCCCACTGCCATCTGTATACCACCCTGTCCTTGTCCCCATGCCACCCACTGTCCCCACTCCTTTCCTTTCATCCCCACTCCCACTCCTGTCCCTGCTGTGTCCCTAACTCCATCTCTGTGCCCCCTGCCTTGTTTCCAGGTGTCCCCCACCAGTGCACAGGTGCAGGACCCCAGGCCCTCTCCATCCTCATCCCCATGCCATTCCCACCCTCACCCCTGTTCCTGTTGCCCCACCCCCTTCCCTGCTCCCACGGTGTTCCCAGGTGTCCCTGTGGTGTCCCCAAGTGTCCCCACCTGTGCGCAGACGCAGGACCCCGGGTGCCCCCAGGTGTGGCCCCCGCCGGGCTTGGACCAGCAGCTCGAAGGGGTGGCCTGGAGACAGCCCTGTCACCGAGAAGGCGACAGCAGAGCTGGGCAGTTCGTGCGTTGTCATGGCCACAGGGTCATCCTGGGGACGGGGACAGTGTGAGGGGGTGGGGGGGAAACCATGGGGACACCACGGGGAGACACTGGGGACACATTGAGGACACACTGGGGATACCTTAGGAAGATGTTGGGAACTTCAGGGACACATTGGAGACGTGTTTGGGACATAATTGATGGCAGTGTGGCGACTCATTTGGGGTGTGTTGGGGCATACATTGGGGACACCATGGGAACAGACCAGGAATATGGTGGAGACACAATAGGGAACACTGGGGACACACTGGACACAGGCTGAGGACACCATGGCACATACTGGGGTCACGTTAGGGACATGCTGGGGGGATGCACTGGGCACATGTTTGGGACACACTGGCGGGGCTGATACATACTTGGAACATGTAGGGGATACCATTGAGGACACCTTGGGGATGATCTGGGGGCATACTGGGGTCCTCCCATTGTGGCCACATGGGTGGCACTGGGGTCTGGCCCCTTCCATGTGCCTGTTTCCCTCTGTGTCCCCTCCTGTCCCTGTCCCATCCCCATGCCCCCACCCCCATGTCTCCTGTGTCCCCACTCACCAGGGGGACAAGTGTCACCCGGTAGCCATCGGGAGGAACGAGGGGCTGGGGCCAGGTGATGCGCAGGGACGTTGGGGTGCGGGAGGCCAACCGTGGTGTTACCCAGGGCACCTCTGAGGGGACAGTGCAGGGACACCATGGGGACACCAGGGGACACACATGGGATGGGGGACACCACAGGGACACCCTGGGTTGGGGCATCTCGGGGATGGACACATGCTGGGAACACCCTAGGACACGCAGGGATGGGTGCACGGAGGGGTGGGACACTGGGAGGCACGGAGGGGCACTAGGAGTGGCACATAGGGACACCTGGGGACACAGTGAGGTGGCATGAGAACCCCCTATGGATGGGGAGAGAAGTGGGGGTGTACTGGGAGCACTGGAGGGCACTGGTGTCACAGTATGATGGGAGGGGAGGAGAGGGGGCATTACGGGTGGCGTTACTGGGAAGTCACCGGAGGAACACCGGCGGGGACCGGGAGCGCTGGGGAGCCACCGATGTCGCAGCACCCCTCCCACCCAGGGAGCACTGAGGTGGGGAAGGTGGGAGGTGGCTGAGGGGCACCGGGACGCACCGATGTCACAGCACCCCTCCCACCCAGGGAGCACTGAGGTGGGGGAGGTGGGAGGTGGCTGAGGGGTACCGGGAGCACTGTGGCGGGCACCGGGACGCACCGATGTCGCAGCGGGCCCCGCCCAGGCCCGGCGGGCAGGCGGCGGTGGCGCAGTCGGGCCCGGCCCAGCCCGGGAAGCAGCGGCAGCGGCCCCGCTCGCAGCGGCCCTGATCGCTGCAGCCGCGCGGGCACGCGGGGGGCGGCGCCGGGGGCGCGCCCGGGGGAGCGGGGCAGGAGCAGCCGCCGCCGGCAGGGGGCGCACAGAGCTGCGGGGACCGGCCTGGGGGACACGGACACGGGGTGACCCCCGGTGACCCCCACAGTGACCCCCCAGTGACCCCCCACAGTGACCCCCCACAGTGACCCCACAGTGACCCCACAGTGACCCCCACAGTGACCCCCGGTGACCCCCCACAGTGACCCCACAATGACCCCCAGTGACCCCCCCCAGTGACCCCCCACAGTGACCCCCGGTGACCCCACAGTGACCCCCCCACAGTGACCCCCCCACAGTGACCCCGATGACTGCCAGTGACTCGCACTGGCCCCCTTTTACCCCCCCAGTGACCTTTCACTGACCCCCCCCTGACCCTGGCAGTGATCCCCCCCACTCACCCCCCAACGACCTCCCACTGACCCCCGCTGATTCCAGCAGTGATCCCCGCACTGACCCCCCCTGACCCTGGCAGTGATCCCCCCCACTCACCCCCCAATGACCTCCCACTGACTCCAGCAGTGACCCCCCATCACTGACCCCCCCTGACCCTGGCAGCGATCCCCCCCACTAACCCCCCAATGACCTCCCGCTGACTCCAGCAGTGACCCCCCCCACTGACTCCAGCAGTGACCCCCCCTGACCCTGGCAGTGATCCCCCCACTAACCCCCCAATGACCTCCTGCTGACTCCAGCAGTGACCCCCCCACTGACCCCCCCTGACCCTGGCAGTGACACCCCCCTCACTGACCCCCCCGACCATGGCAGTGATCCCCCCAGTGACTCCAGCAGTGACCCCCCCGCCACTGACCCCCCCTGACCCTGGCAGTGACACCCCCCCCCACTGATCCCCCCTGACCCTGGCAGTGACCCCCCACCACTGACCCCCCCTGACCCTGGCAGTGACACCCCCCTCACTGACCCCCCCGACCATGGCAGTGATCCCCCCCACTGACTCCAGCAGTGACCCCCCCACTGACCCCCCCTGACCCCAGCAGTGACCCCCCCCAGTGACCCCCCCTGACCCTGGCAGTGATCCCCCCCACTGACCCCAGCAGTGACCCCCCCACTGACCCCCCTGATCCTGGCAGTGACCCCCCAGCAGTGACCCCCCCACTGACCCCCCCTGACCCTGGCAGTGATCCCCCCCACTAACCCCCCAATGACCTCCCGCTGATTCCAGCAGTGACCCCCTCCCACTGACCCCCCTGACCCTGGCACTGATACCCCCCACCACTGACTCCAGCAGTGACCCCCCCCACTCACCCCCCCTGACCCTGGCATTTATCCACCCCCCTCACCCCCCAATGACCTCCCGCTGACTCCAGCAGTGACCCCTCCCCCCCACTGACCCCCCCTGACCGTGGCAGTGACACCCCCCCCCCCCCACTGACCCCCCCCGACCATGGCAGTGAACCCCCCACCACTGACTCCAGCAGTGACCCCCCCACTGACCCCCCCGACCATGGCAGTGAACCCCCCACCACTGACCCCACCAGTGACCCCCCCCGACTGACCCCCCCTGACCCTGTCAGTGACACCCCCCACTCACCCCCCAATGACCTCCCACTGACCCCAGCAGTGCCCCCCCCACTGACCCCCCCGACCCTGGCAGTGACCCCCCCAGCAGTGACCCCCCCCCCACTGACCCCCCCTGACCCTGGCAGTGATCCCCCCCTCTGACCCCCCAATGACCTCCCACTGACCCCAGCAGTGACCCCCCCACTGACCCCCCCCTCACCCTGGCAGTGATCCCCCCCACTGACCCCCCCGACCATGGCAGTGACCCCCCCCCACTGACCCCCCCTGACCCTGGCAGTGACCTCCACCCCTCCAGACCCCCCACTGACCCCCCACTGACCCCCACTGATGCCCCCAATGACCACAAGAACCATCATGACCCCAATGTCTCCACAAATAACCACCTCAGTGACCCCCCCAAATAACCCCCCAATGACCCCCCCAATGACCTGCTGTGTCCCCCCTGTCTTTCCTGTGTCCCCTCCATGTCCTAACCTCTGCCACCTGTCCCAGCCCAGGGTTCTGCCATGTCCCCTCCCTGTCCCCATGTCCCCTGTGTCCCCTGCCCTCCCTGTGTTCCCCTGTCCCCGCCTGGGCTCCCCCGTGTTCTCCCCCTTGTCCCGTTACCTGTCCCGGCCTGGGGTCCCCCCGTGTCCCCGCAGTGTCCCCTCAGTGCCTGCACGTGTCCCTCGAGCTCCCGCAGCCGCCTCAGCACATCGCTCAGCGCTGCCCCGCACGTCTCGGAGGGGGACTCGGGGGGGGACGTGGCAGGGGACACGGAGGGGGACACGGAGGGGGACACCGCCTCCCCCCGCAGCGCCAGTGCCAGCAGGAGGAGCCGCAGTTCCAGGGACATCGGCATCGTCCTGGGGGAAAGCAGCGGGACATGGGGACACCCAGAGGCGACCACGAGGGAACACGGACACGGAGAGACACAGGGACAACGTGGGGACACCCGTGGGGGGACACAGGCACACGTTGGGGGGACACAGGGACAGGCATGAGGATGCAGGGACATCCATGGGGACATCCACGGGGGCACACAGGCACCAATAAAGGGAATAAAGGACATCGGGACATAGTCATGGGGATGTCCAAGAGAAATAACCCACGGGGAGGATGTGGAGACACCCTGGGGACACTCAAGGGACACACACGAAGCACGGGGAACACCCATGGGGGGGTGCAGGGGGACAGGGACATCTTGGAGGACACCCCAGTGACACAGAGGGACACCTGTAGGGTGACACCCCCCAGAGACAGTGGGGACACCACTGGGGACATCCTCAGGGATACACACGCACCAGCAGGGGACAGAGGAACACCTCTGGAGACACCTGAGGGACACAGGGACACACGAGGGGGGCACAGGGAGACCCATGGCAACACAGGCACGGATGTGGGGGACATGAGGGACACCTGGGGGACAATTCCTGGAGACACACGGACACCCCAAACCACAGCAACTCCCAGTAACCCCTAGTGACTATTCAGTCACCCCCAGTGACCCCCTCAATAACTCCCAGTGATTCCCAGTCCCCTAATCCTGACAGTTCCTCCAGAGCTGCCTGGTGCCCCCCATTCCCCACAGTGCCCCCTAATTCCCCCCAATACCTTCCCAGTCCCCCCCCCCATTTCCCCAAGCTCCCCCTGTTCCCGCAGTGCCTCCAGTTCCCCCCCATCCCTCCCAGTCCCTCCCAGTGCCCCCAGTTCCCCGCAGTGACCCAAATTCCCTCAGTGACCCAGTCCTGCCCAGCTCTCCCAAGCTCCGCCCAGTCCCCCCCAGTGACCCCAGTTCCCCCAGACCCCCCTGTGCCCCCCAGCGACCCCCCAGTCCCCCCAGCTGCCCCCGCACCTCCGGCCGGTCCCGCCGCCTTCTCGCTCTGGGTCGGGCGGGGTGGCCCGTGGGGGGCGGGGCGGGGGGCGGGGCCGGGGCCACACCCTCCCCTCCCCCCCCCAGGGGACCCGCCCCCGCCCGTGTTTGGGGAGTTGCCATGGAAACCAAACAACCGAGCGGGAAGGGCTCCCAGTGCTCCCAGTGCCACCAGTACCGTGCCTCAGGCTGACCCCTGGCTCATGAGAACCCAGTCCAGTCCATCCCAGTGCTCCCAGTGACACCAGTACATGCCTCAGGCTGACCCCTGGCTCATGAGAACCCCGTCTAGTCCATCCCAGTGCTCCCAGTGCCACCAGTACCGTGCCTCAGGC